TCGTAGAAATCACTCTTAGGTAAGTCTCAACTAAGAACTACGTTCTTTTTCAGTTCTTGGCTCTGTCTCTAACATGTACTTATTTAAAATTAATTCTTGTATACCTTTTTGGTTTTCCTACAATTTTTTCATTTTTTGGGGGTTCCAAATTACTAATTTACTTAAGTATTAATCTGTTCCTTCGCTATTACTAGTTGTGTCTTGTGTTTAAATATAGGGAATTTTTCTTCCTTTTTCTTTTCCTTCTTGTTTTATTTGATTGCTGCTACTATTAATTTTTTTTCTTGTTTTTTTTAAATTTTTTTTTGTATAAGTGGAGCAAATTTAATGTCCTCCCCTCTTTTGTTAGCATTATAGTAAGGGGCTACAGGACTTACACTAAGTTAAAACTTAAAACCTAATTACAAAAAAAAAAAAAAATAAATAAAAATAAAAACAGTTTCTTTTTATTGTTGTTATTTCCGTCACCTTATCAGTAAGTATTACAGTCGAAATGTCGGCGACTAAACCGACGATACCACTCTGAGTTCCGAGTGAGCCGGCTCGTTAGTAAGCCAGTAGGAGAAAAACAAACCTAACAAATGGGGAGGAACTCGCTGAGTCAACGGCTAGCTAACTAAAGGTGGAGTCACCATAAACCAATGTGGAGAAGATAACGGGAAACCACTTCACTATCAACCCCAAGACAAATCATGGTTAACAACTCAGATAATGTGAAACCTAACGGATGGCTTATGTCTATGGGAATTAGGTCTTCGCCCGGTAAGGACGTACATGCGCAACAGGTATCACCTGACCGTCATACAGCGATGCTAGCATAAACGGCTCAAAGGGGATAAAAGCCCTCGGAACATATCCCTCGCCGAGAAGGAACGATATCAGCGACAAGTGTCATCGGACTGTTATCCGGCGACTGCTCGCATCAAACACACAATAACCCTCGGGACATAGAACGTCCGGACATTAAACAACTGTAGCCAGTTTGATAATATTAAACAAGAGATGAACAGGCTTAACATCAACATTCTAGGTGTATGTAAAATCAGATGGCCAAACAATGGTGACTTTGTCAGTGACAAACACAGGATAATTTATACAGGTTGTGACAATAACGACAAAGGAGTAGGACTAATACTAGATAGACAACTTATGAAATGCCTTCTAGGATACCACCAACTTTCCGAAAGAATTCTGGTAGTGAAACTGAAAGAGAAGGCGTTCAACGTGGCTATTATAGTAGGGAAGGGGACATCGAATCGTTCTCATCTATGCTGGACAGTGTCAGGGCTCTAGGCAAATCACAGGAAGTCATGGGAGACATAATCGCCAAAGTAGGTAGGGAAGGGGCTGGGGTAGAGCGGAAAAATTCGGACTAGGAACCCGCAACGAACGCGTAGAAAAATGAATCCAATGATGCACAGCCAATGACCAGGTAATAGCCAAAACATAGTTCCAAGAACATCCGAGACGACTATGGACATGAGCCCAGGAGGAGAAACTAAAAAACAAATTGATTATATAACCATCAACAAATGATTCAGGAATGCAATGATTCACTACAAAACCTACCCAAGTGCCGACTGCAGGAGCGACCATCGCCCTCTTATATGTAAACTAAGAGTGAAACTGCGGAAATTGAAGAAGCCTAACGCAGCACCCAAGCTGCAATGCAACAAACTTTTGAGCGACCATAACCTAAAAAAATGAACAATGAGAAGAGAAGATACGAGGTGCAAAATGGAAACTCGAACTGGGACGCACTAAAGGACCCTTTAGTAACATCAGCAAACGATATCACCCCAAAGGAGACAGGACAAAGAAAGACAAACGAATGGATGACTGATGAGATCCTCGACATGAAGAAAAGAAGGCATAAAACTCGGCCAAGATACGGAACGGAATAGAGAAAATTACAATATGAAATAAAAACCAAATGCAGGCAAGCTAAAAGGAATGGCTAAACGAAAAATGTGCAGAAATAGAAAGATTGAGTACGACCAACAAAAGAAACATGCACAAACATATAAGGCAACTAACAGGACAACATGCTCGTCGACAGGCTACCTAAAATCTAAGGAAGGAACGCTCATATTAGAGAAGGTAAAAATTCTTCAATGCTGGAGCGAGTACATTGGAGAACTCTTCCACGACATAAGGGAATAACCAGCAATACACAGAACTACTGACGGACCTGGAAGTCCGAAAACCAAAGTAAAAGCCGCACTGGCCAATTTGAAGAGAAAGAAAGCAGCTAGACCAGGCAGAATTGTAACAGAAATGCCGACAGCCTTAGATGACTTTGGCTTAGACAAAATCACCGAAAAAATGAAATCTAGAACAGCGGGAATATACAGGAAGACCTCAGCGGATCTATCTTCGTAGCTATTCCCAAGAAAACAGCCGCAAACGAATGCGAACTCCACCAACAATAAGCCTAATGAGCTACATGATAAAACTCATCATCCGTATTCTAATGAACAGAGCACGCAGCAAAATCAGCCCAGAGATAGGACAAGAACAGTGTGGGTTCGTTAAAGACACTGGAACAAGGAACGTCATATTCATGCACAGAATGTTATCAAAAAGAGTGATACAGATGCAGAAAGACATGTACCTATGTTGCATAGACGACGCAAAGGCCTTTGATGAAGTACGCCACAAGGATCTGATGGAACTGCTCAGCAACCACGATATATTCGGGAAAGATATCAGAATAATCAAGAACCTATACTGGCAGCAAACAACATGCATGCGCATAGGGAACAAGTTCATTGAATATACAAAAATAGAAAGGGGCGTAATCAAAGATGCGTCTTCTCACGCGACCCGTTCAACCTGTACAGCGAGGCACTTCTGAGAGTTGGAAACCCTACCGGGATTTAACATAGGCGGCCACAATATTAACAAAATAAGATACGCAGATGACAATACTGATAGCATACACGGAAATGAAATTACAGAATCCCTTACAGAAGGTAGCGGCGGAGAGTGAGAAGAAGGGACTAAGCATAAACTACAAGAAGACGGAATGCATAGTCGTCAGTAAGAGGATAAACCCGAATCAAGCAAACGCGGAAATTTAAATATCTGGGAAGCGTCTTGACAGAGGATGGTAAGTGCGACACTGAGATCCGTAGGCGTATTGGAATGGCCAAGGACACATTCCAAAAGCTGGGTAGAGTACTGCGAGACTGGAGGATGTCTTTGGTAACAAATAAAAAATACTGAACTGTTACGTGACATCTGTCCTTCTTTACGGCAGCGAATGTTGTTAAGGATATCATGGACAGAGCGCGTGAGCAACGATGAGATTTTAGATATATTGCAAACAAGGAGGAGGCTTATACCTAATATCAGGAAGAGGCAGCTGAAGTTTCTACGACACACAGTGAGGAAGGAAGGCCTGGAGAATCTGATATTCACGGGTCGAATAGAGGGGAATAGAGACAAGTAAAAACATAGCGTGACATACTTGGCGGGCTTAATCAAGTGGAATACAGAACATGGTCTGGGGGAGAAAGCAGACGGAAGGAACTTGTTGAGAGATGCAAGGTATAGAGGGATGTGGAGAGCCATGATCGCCTACGTCCTGAAAGGATATAGCACATAAAAAGAAAGGATATTCATTTCAATCAGATTCTAACCGTAAGCTACGGAAATGATGCTCTAGTTAAATTCCAGAAAAACTGAACTGGATAACGCCAATAGTGGATCACCAGACAGTCACTATAATCTACTGTTTTGTGCGATTTCAGTTTTGGAAAGTGTTTGGGCCAATTAAACAGAGTGTTCTTAAATTGCGCACCGGACTTTATTTATTTGGCATTCGGCATTCGACACCGGATGCAGAAGAACCTTACCTCACGCCTGCATCCAGTATTGAAAACGTGAGAAAAAGATATAAACTACCACTACAAATATGACTGAACAGTCTCCCATACGATGGAGGATATCAGGCCCGGATGTTTGTCTGTGTCGGGAGAAGGTGTTCTCTGACAAGGGTTGCAGGACAGAATGACCACTATATTGGAAGGAATAAAACATTCAAGCTTGGTGTTAGCATTTAATCAGAACATCCACCTCTTTACATAAGTTTACATCGATGCCATTCTCATAGTCATTAGTGTTAAGTGAACACAAGGAGATTAATCGAAAGAAACAACATTTCGGAAAATAATCCCCAATAATACAAAGCAAAAATACAGAGAATATATGACGTGCTTCGTGGCTGGTGTTTGAACGTAGATAATGAGACTGGATTTCGAATTCATATTTTCATAGGAGGGCGTAACAAAATAATGTGATATAAAATTAAATCACACTGAGAGAATTAGAAGCTAAAAACAAAATAAATAGTTCAATACTATGTGTTAGTTGGTTCTTGTAAAAACTACATAACTTCCAACGTCCCTAAATAACTGTATCAGAATCATTCCTGAAAAAGATACATAATGAATGAGTGTCATTAGGATCGAACTGTACATCGATCGCCCATTTATTTGCTAAAGGTATAACATAGCGAAAAGCATGCAATTATCTAACAATGAACTGGTGCAATCTCAAAAATTATCCCGAGTGTAAACAGCAGTATTTGTGTCTGTGACCAATGTTAGGAATGCTGAATTCGGAAATTATGCACAAAGCTTTAATCACAAATGGAATTTTCTAAGGTAACGCAGCCAACATCAACGATTCACATCCATTTTGTACATTAATATAAGTGAAGTTCGCGCACAAATTATGCAATTCTCTCGAGCAGTCAGCTTCCTCTGTGGGTTAGAAAAGTGAGTTAATTACAAATTGATAGGATGGGCTAGTATTGGCGAGGCTGTCGCGTTCTGCACTGATCTTTCCATTCGAATTGGTCAGTCAATCCTTACCATATTGACCATTATCATTTTTAGCTCTGACGCAAGCAGAGAAACGCGGAAACGTTCATATTTACAAAGTAAATACGTAACTATATTTCTGATGAAATGGATTCCTGTGAAGTAATGTGAATGAATCTTTATAATTTCAATGTCTACTCATATCAATCGGTATATTTAATACTTTTCATTTTCTATCTATCTATCTATCTATCTATCTATCTATCTATCTATCTATCTCACCAAACCCGTTAAGAAATATGTAAACTGTCAACTGCATTCAACCACTTTCTCAGGTCGATGGTTAGAGTGGCTTTGAGGGAATGAAACCTGTAGATCTTAACGAGGACCGTACTTCTTCAAACCTTGGCGCTACAGAATCACAAAGAATTGTATCAAATAAGAGAAACCACATCACTTGAAAACTTACAGCAAAAGCAACAACTAAAATGGAGTGCAGATGTAACTACAGGAGCAAATAATTACAATCATGACATTGACGTTGAGAAACCAATTTTCCTGAGAAATTTATTTTTAAGAGTAAACATGTAAATTTCAACCTACGGCATTGCATGAATGTCAAATATCATCACAGAAGGAAACGGTTAGTATTACCATTAATATAGATACACTGTGCCCGCCAAAGCAAATGTCGGTATTTTCTACAAAGTGGGTGCAGTTTCGAACCCTGCTGGAGGTTACATTGTCTATATTTACTTGAATGAGCAAGCCAGAAGACGCACTTCCCATCGGCGCATCTACTCAATCATGGGTATCCAGAAAATAACGTTAGGAGTAGTAGAATAATACAAATATATGTTTAATTTTGAAAAGCTGATGTACCGTTTTTCGTTTTTTTGTTTCATGTCACTGCAAGCAAGGCAATAAAGATACTGAGATGCGGGGAGTTACTGAGTGTGGAAGAATATAAGAAAATGAAAAACACTATTAAGGAGGGATGACAATAATAGAACAGAAACTACGAAGACAGAAGATACGATTGATATTGCATTTAAATTTTTTGAAGATCAATATTGGCCGGAAAACATGGAGCCGGAAGAGTGTTCCACAAGCGAGGAAAGACATTCTTAAGATAAAACTTGCGGTTATATCTAGTCATTTGCTTGGGGTGAAATAATTAATATATATATATATATATATATATATATATATATATATATATATATATATATATATTTCGCGCATGCGCGTTGTTTGTTTTTAATTTTGTCGACGGCACTGTATAGTAGGGCTAGTTGGGTATTGTCTTTGAGAAAAAGATCACCATGACGTAATTCAAACTTCCATAAATTTAGTAAGTAATAAGTACTAATCAATAAATTAACAAAGGAAGCAATATAAAAAAAAAAAGAGATAAAATAATTAAATATAAATAATACATATATATAATAATTATACTATATGAATTATTATATCATTATTAATATTATATTATTAAATAATATTATAATTAAATATTTTAAATATTATTATATTAAATAATAGTAAAAATATTAAAATATATAAAAATTATTAAATATTATTATATTAAATAATACTACATAAAATATAAATGCCTCATTAAATAATATTATTAATATGAATTATTAAATGATACATCATTACAATTCAAATAATACAATATATATCAATATATCACACATCGATTATATACTAATCTATTAACACCAATACACCACATGTCATTATATTAAATAATAGTATTATATTATTAATTTATATATATATATATATATATATATATATATATATATATATATATATATATATATATATATATATATATATATATATATATATATATATATAATAATAATAATAATAATAAGAAGAAGAAGAATGTTGAAATAATTAATAATATAATAGTATTGTATGAGTGGTTAGAACGTTGAATCCCATCATGGTTGATTTGCCAGGAAGGAGACTTTTCCAAAGGTGCCGCCCGCACCTTTGGAAAGTGCTTGAAAACGATATCACAAGTCTTGTCAGTGAAATTCGGTAGACGTACCTCTTGAGATGTGCTAGCATAAAGCCACATTAGCTAGCCGCTCTAGTAGACGGGTATCTTGAATACGAGTGGCCTGCTATTATTACACATATATATATAAACTATAGGAAAAAATGTTGGTGGTGGGAGCATCGTTTCTTAAAATGAGATATTTTTGTATTTTAAAGTAAAGAATGATTGCAATATATTTGCTTTTATTTTCCTCAAAATGAAATTTTAACTTTATTTACTTTTAAAAGTATCATATTTTAAGGTTCTATTTAAAGAAATGTAGGCTGGTCCCCAATTTTTCTCGTGTATATAAATGAATAAGGTGTATTTCAGTCAGTTATGTGCCATGCGTGATAAACGCTTAGGTGATCATGTATCTTTCGATACATGTCAGACGAGGCAAATTTTTTTCCCGCAGTAGGTTGACATTTTTCTGCGGTAGATCAGTTGCCATCCAAGGCTATAAACCCGGTCTGTCAAGCTATTTACCCATAGCTGAGGGGAGAAGAAGAGGATTGATACCTTTCCTAAGAAAATTAGCACGTAAGTTAAAGTATATTTAGGCATATCATGTCATATCATATATATATATATATATATATATATATATATATAAGCTACATTTAGACATATATACAAGGATGCGATGGTTAAATTGTCGCCAATTTATATTTTTAATATCGCGCATGCGCGTTGTTTGTTTTTAATTTTGTCAACGGTCTTATATAATATGAGCAGTTAGGCATTGTCTATGAGAGAAAGAGTACCAGAAATTTGGAAACGGCATGCTATACGGTTTAGCATTTGCGTCGGAGACTCCAATACGAACATTTGAGAGTGTTTGGGTGTTAGCCTTAGGACAATGCAGAGGATTCGGAATTGTTCGATAAGTCTAATCGTGATTACGATGGTACGAAGCTCGAAAAATTCACTCACATAGTTCTTTTCAAAGAATCCTCCATTGGTCTCCCTGCTAACTCCGACCAACTCTCTGGTCTTCGCATTTTTTAATCTGCATCTTTTAATTGGAGGTGTCTTAGTAATGGCAAACGGCTGATGCTACCATGGCTGTTCATTGCTTCCTTTTAAGCCTTACAATTTCTTCTTCAATTGTGCTGATGAATACCAACGAATTGTGTACATTACGTTTTTTTATGTGGGCGGCCATCAGTTCTACTAGACTCCAGCCTTACATGCGTGTACAAAAAAGTATGGCGGTTATGACCGTCCATTTAGAGGAAGTTTACTCCCGGGCAACGCCGGGCTTTACAGTTAGTTAGCAATAAGATCGGAATTACACACTAGTAAATGTGACCTAGAAAATCGAAGAATCATTGAAATAGATTAAAGTTGGGTGGAAAGCAGAGAACCGGAAGTAATTTCCACAAGCGAGAAGTGCGAGAAAATAAACTGTTAGCATAGAACTTACGTTTACAACAACCAATTCAACTGTAAATTGATGAAACCTTGTTGCCAATCTAGTACTGCGCTTACATTCATACAGTCTAGATACTATAGCGAAGAGCTTCTCCGAACAATTACCATTAAAGTATTTATAAAAAAGGCACAGTGAAGCAAACTTAAGACAGTAGGAAAGTGACTGAAGCCGAACCCCCAGATCAGGACAAATAATATTGCTGATTCTTTTTTGGATCTTATCAAGGAGATCAAGGTATACAGCAGGAACACCAGACCATATATGCGTGAAATATTCTAAGCATGACTGGCTTATAGATATGTAAGATATATTCTAGAGACAAAATGTGTCTCAAACGACACAGTGAACCTAACTTAACAGCTGACATAGCAATGGATTTGATATAGTCATTCTACTTCATGTCAGCAGATAATGTGAGCCCGAGAAAGTGCAACGAGTCACTTTCCTGGAGTTTAGCGTCAGTCATGCTGATGAAAGACAGAAAGGAGCCTCGCAGATGATTAATGGTAGTTTAGTTTTGAAGGTGTTAAATTTGACAAGTCGTCTTTTTTCCCAGTTTACGACGGACTTCAGGTCGTTTTGCACATCGGTTGCCATTTTGACCTCGTCGGACTGATCAGTTATCGTGACAGAGGTAAGTGGTTGTGTCGACAGCGTAGATGCCAAGTTGGTAGCTGATGTCATGGTAAAGGTCGTTAATAAAAACTAAAAACAGCGTAGGACCAAGGATAACGTACTGAAGGACACCCGCATTAGTGAGAAACGATCTAAAGAAGTGGCCATTCACGATAACTTTCATTTCACGATTTGTTAGCAAGTACAGGATCAGTATTCGTAGACACTGTAATTTTTCAGCTTGTAAAAAAGACATGTATGCCAGACCCTGTCGAAGGCTTTCGAGATATCCAATGCTACAGCTCGGGATTCACCGTTTTTATTTAGAGCATGATAGACTCTTTCCGCAATTATAGTCAGGATGATGGAAATATATGACAATATTCAACATAAAAGACAGTGGATTGACTACAGAAAATCTACACAACCAAAAGCTGATGTTCCTGGAAGAGAGGTAATGTGTGTTTGTGATATGATGGTTGGGATAGCATCTAGATATCATCTTTAACGCAATGAAATACTAAACTCACGTTTATACAATGCGCACATAAAAGTTTGGTTGAAAAGTGCCCTGCGCTCGACAGTAGAAAAATAAAATTTGTTATCCTCAATAACAAGGCAAGGCCACATACATTATACTTATTATAAAACCCAGGTTGTGTGTGTGTGTGTATGTGTGTGTGTCTGTATGTTTATATATTGAATCGGATTTCCTACATTTTTCAACTGATTTTAACAAAACTTCAAGGGACTACGTAAAATTAGCTTGCGGTGGTTCTGACAGCGCCAAAAAGTGGAAAAACACAATTGTTTTTGCATGAAATCAATTTGAAAACACGATTAAGAGGCATCGCGAGAATGGAAGGGGGACAACTCATATTGAGTTATACTTATAAAACCCAGGTTGTTTTTGTGTGTGTTTGTTTATATATGGGATCGGATTTCCTATATTTTTCAACCGATTTCAACAAAACTTCATATTTTTGGGGGGCAGGTAGTGTTTCTTATTGTCTTGCACACTTTTTTCTTTATTTTTACATTAAGAATGCTTTAAAAATTCCATTTACAAGACAATTGTTTATAATAAAATTCTATTCAATCTGTAGACTCATAACGATTGAAAACAATGTTTTTGTTTGAGTTTGTGTTTGACCAATTCGTAAAAAACAAACAAAAAAAAACAAAAAAAAAACTAATAAAGACATGCGTGTCCGTCAACCTTAAACAATAATCTTTGTCAATTTTATTTTTCAGTCTTTATGATAGTCGATACTTGATCTATCTCTTACTGTTACATCCCCGGGCAACGCCGGGCTCTCCTGCTAGTCAAGAATAACACCGGAAAACATTTTGCAACAGTTTTTTTCTAGTCTACCAAACAAAAACTACAGAAACCGATTGCCTTTTTCGATCGCTGCAAAACGCTTTGACAGATACATTTTTATCTCATGAAAACCAGATTGAAGAATTTGTCGAAATATTTTCACATCCCAACCTGCGGAATTTTACTCAAGAAGAGCTGCTTGATAAATGGAAACAAGTCATTGCAAATAGTGTTGAATATATAAGCAAAAAAAATGTATTTCTATTTTATTTTTAGAAAAACAACATTATTTATAACTCAATCTAATATCAATATAGAATACGCTATCCCAAAATACAAGGAACAAAATAGATAACAGTAAAACTATATCCTTACAACATTGGCTTCTTTCGCACTGTCAATTATCCTAACATTGTATAAGAATGTACATATACCATAAGACTTCCATGATTTTTGTTTTCATTGGAAGCAATAAGAAGCACAATCCACTTTAATATTTATGAGCTTTTATACAGAAACGAATCGTCTGGTGATTCTGGTAAGTATTCCGAATATGCATCTATATTTTACACACGATACTTTTCTCGAGCCAAATCAACTGAAAGAATTTTATAGGCTTTTATTGGGAATCAGATTGTCACGAAATTTCTATTGATGTACAATTCCCTGGTAAAAACAAACTGCAGTCATATTAAGAGATTTAACCGCGATTCTTGGCTAAAAGTAAATTCACCAATCTATCAATTTAAAGTTCAGAGTTGTTAAAATGCATCAATATGATAAATCGCTTGTCATTTAGAGATTTGTAAATTCCCCCTCGTTGGTCCAAAACAACTTGAAAATACTAAAGACATTTTTTTTTCATTCATTATATTTCAGTACATCTATCTATTCATGTCTATTCATTTCTTTTTCTCTTTCTACGTCTATTAATTAATTTATTTTTATCTATCTATCCATTTCTTTCTATTTGTCTGTGTCTATTCATTTCTATCTCTTTCTGTTATTGTTGTAATGTTGTCTGTGCTCAAAAGAGTCGGGAATTCGGGAAGCCGTAGTTAGAGCGAGTATCGAAGGAAAAGAAGATTCGGTAGAGGCAAAAAAGAAAAAGAGGATTATTAATACTCATACATAGACCTAGAAAAATTGAGTAAATCTTCAAATCCTACTTTAATATGACTACTTTTCATATTTATAAGTAGAAGCAGCAGTTCATTTTCACTGTAGGATAGAAGAAAAAGAAGTACGCTGAGTTTTACTCTACAACACTTATATATTTGGTTTATTTTGTAGCTGAGAGCGTTTTGAATGTATTCATGGTGTTTATGCTTAGTGTTCAAGTCTAGGTATAACTAAAATTTAGGAGTCATTTTTACAAATATAAAGGTCTTCTTCACTTGAAAGTTTTTGAATGAACTTCGCCAGTCATGTGGCAATTACTGCATTCTTGACTAAAAAACTCAATATCAAAGAACTACTCGTTTTCGAGCACACACAACTTTCAGAAAATCTAGCCAAACCCTATTACAGATGCTTGCTCAACTTACAGAAATCACCGGTGGTTGAGAGTGCAGCCTTGCTGAGCGGACTTTTGTTACAGTTTCAGAGAGAGAGAGAGAGAGAGAGAGAGAGAGAGAGAGAGTGAGAGAGAGAGAGAGACAGAGACAGAGACACAGAGAGAGAGACTTCATGCTAACACAAAAATCAACAGTTCTCAATGGTACCGTCTAACTGATTACATTCGTGAATTTTTACCTATCGAGATGAGCATGTGTTCTCTCAGACAGGCCCCGTAATGAACGCCTATTGGGATTTAAACTCAACCTAAGCTTTAAGTTGAACTCGTACATACGATCCATTCCATCCTTTGCTAAAGATAATGGGGAAAATGGTTGGTTCCCTCTCCTGCGCCAGTAAATACCTGACTCTTCCTGCTATCCTCTACGTTTATAGATCAGTCCGAAAATGGCGTACTGCTGCTTTAAATTGTTAATCTGTGCCCAATCTTCATTTTCCAGTCTCCATAGAGTGCAAATGCATCTCACCGTCCTTGTGGGTAACGATATCTTTTTTCCACCATACAACCCCTCTTTCTCACAGATGAAACGTCGCAAGCCTCTCGCTCCTTTATGTTCAGATAAACTATATTCCTTCCTTCAATCAGTTCAACCCTTCACGGCTAAGACCCGCCATTCCATAACCTACCCTCATTTCTTACGTATTTCACTTGTGATATGTAAGTTTCACTCGAGCAGCATCTTCACACGAACCGCTGATTTGCGTAACCGACTCACCGATCGCTACAATCTTGTAGGCTACTTGTTCAGGTCTAGGCTTAACGGTTATCTTCAGCACATATCACCAAAAACTATGCCTCTCTGTAATTCTCTACCTCGAGAGGACCTTGGGTTCTATACAGGGAAAAAAAAAAAAAAAAAACACCGTAAAAAAGAAAAAGAAATCAGCTTACTCATATCTATCTATCTATCTATCTATCTATCTATCTATCTATCTATCGGTTTTGGATTCAGGGATGAAATCCGGTACCAATAAATAACAAATACAGTCTTTGGTATTGAAGTATCGCTGTATGACTTCTTACTGAGTCCACGTGCTCGCTCACAGTGACTCTTGCTCCCTAAGTTCGTTCTGTCTGTCTGTTAACTTCAACCTCTGTTGCTCCCGTCTCTCGGTTCTTCACGTAGCCGTAGTATATGTATATACTGGGTGAGTCCATTTGTGTAAAAAGGGGAGAACCCCTCAACACCCACCTCCTTAGATCCTTTTTCGGGGGAGTTAATATCTTTTCCTTTTTATGATCGATAATCAGAAGCTCTGTAAATTTTCTTTTCCTGATATTCCTTCTAATTTCTGTCTCTTCTTGTGGTCTTTGAATCTCAAAAGCTTCAAAGATCGCCTCCAACGAATCATCATTTTCAGCGGGTGATGAGCTTGGCTTTTCAACCGGTCTTTTTTGTATTTGGTCAATATGTCTTCTGTGGATAAATTTTTCTCCTTGTATTGTGTACATCAAGTTTCCTAGTATGTTAATTATTTTTTTCAAACCCTCTTTAATTCTTTGTTGACTTTCTCTATGGTAGCAACCGGCACGTTCCGCTTCTTTTTAAATATTGGTTGGACATTTTCTTTTAATTCAATTCTGGCTGCAAACTTGTTGCATCGTCCCAACCTGCTCGAAAATACATCGGGAAATTGATTATGTAATTCTTCCTTTAACCTTGTCGCTTCTGATGGTTCGCACCTTATCTTTTTTACAAAAAGAGCTGATAGGTAAATCCCATACGTCGAACTTCTGCATCCAGTCTGTGCCCACAAGATTTTCTGTATCTTTCATTACGAATATTTTGAGTTTTCTTGTTTTCACGTGAAATTTTACATTTAGGATTACTTCTTCGAATTTTATACGCTTTCCTGTAACAGACTTAGCATTTTTCTGTGTATGTAACATTGTTGGTCTATTAAGCTTTCTCTATGTTTGTAGGTTAATTATCGTCAGATCTGACCCTGAATCTAGTGGAAATTTTATCTTTTTATTTAAGATTTCAAGTTCCACATATTTCCTTATGTTAATATTGTCTTCTTCATGCATTCTAGTAGCTCTTATCTTACAAGTAGATTTTCCGTCCCTACATTATGATGCCTTGTGACCCATTTTTCCACACGCAAGACTGTTTTTATATTTAAAACGACAATTCTTATTCCAGTGTAATCCTCCACATCGATAACATGCAGATGTGTGTGTGTGTGTGGGCTTATATTTCCCTTGAATTCTGTCATTAGTTGCTCTGAACGTTGTACTTTTTTCATTATTATAGATTTTTTTTTCTTTCCGGGGAGGGTGAAAAACGTAAACTTTTGTTTAAGTTACGTATATGTGATACTCCTGACTCCTCAATATCCTTCGAGTCTTTCTTTATACTCAGACATTTTTGGCAGTCCTCCGATAGTTTTTGTAGTGTTAATCCAGGTTCATTTTGCAGTTTTGAAAGCATTCTTTTGCGCATTTCGCTATCCTTTGCTGAGACTAACCCTTGTACAAAAATAAGACACTTGAAATTATCCGGGATTAATTCTGCCAAGTTGAAGGCGTCGCAATGTTTATACACGATTGCGGCAACGTGGGATAGTCCTCATTTTCATCCTTTACGAGGTTAAGACATTTCCACCTTTTGTGAAAAAGTGACGTTTTCGGTCTGAAAAGCTCCGTCAGCTTCCAACTGCTTCCTCAAACGTCTAAATCATTTGTTTTCTTTGGCAAAATGTAATCCAAAAATTTTGTGTATTCATCCGTTACTAATTTCCTGAGTAATAGTAGTAATTTCTTTGCTTCCGTCCAGTTTTGACAATCAATGTTGAAGACATCTTCATGACGTCTGAAAAAAGTTCCCGAAATTTTTATCCTCTTTTAGGGAGTATTTGAATATTTCTATCGTGTTCCATACTGCGTCTTGGGAAAAAGTGGCCTCTTTTTCAATATTTTGTTGTTGTGTATTACTCGCTAATTTTACAATTAGCTTCTGGAGTTGTATTTGTCTTTCATGATTTTCCTTCTGCGTTTGTAGTAATAGTTTTTCCATTCTTTCTTGGAATTGGAATTGGGGTTTATTTTGTCTTTCTTGAAGTTGTATTTGCTGCTCATTTTGGTATTTTACAAGTTCTACTAAAATACTTTTAAAATTCTCCATGATAAGAGTCTTACTAAAAACTCGATTTTCCGTATTTTAATCGTGGTAACTCTTTGTTACCCAGTTGTTGTGGATACTGGCAAAACGGCAATTTTCTCTTTTGAGTCTCCGAGAAGTGCAAATTCTTGTCGCCCAAGCTGTTGTGGTGAGAAGATAGAATTTTTTTCTTTCCGTGTAGGCCCCAATTCCTCGTCACAAAGTTGTAGTCGGCAAGCGAAAATTTTTCTTTGTTCTCTTCCTGTGTGAGTTCGAATTTCCTCGTCACCAAGTTGTGGTCGACGAGAGAGAATTTTTTTTTCCCCGTGTGAGTTCGAAGTCCTCGTCGCCAAGTTGACAAGGGAGAATTTTGTCTTTTTTGTTCTTCCCGAGTGAGTTTGATATCCTCGCTGCCAAGCTGTTGTGGTCGACGTGAGAGAATTTTTTTTTCTTCCGCGTGAGTTCGAAGTCCTCGTCGCCAAGTTGTTGTGGTCGACGAAAGGAAAATTTTTTTTTTCGTGTGAGTTCAAAGTCCTCGTCGCCAAGTTGACGAGGGAGAATTTTGTCTTTTTTCTTCTTCCTGTGTGGGTTTGTTGTCCTCGTCGCCAAGTTGTGGATCCCGGGATGAAATCCGGTACCAATAAATAACAAACGCCAAGAATTAATATAGGAAAATAATGTATTAACGTAATAATACAAACTGGTAATGCAGGTTAGTAGTTCCAGGAATACGGGTTAGTAGCAAAATATCTATACAGTCTTTGGTATTGAAATATCGCTGTATGACTTCTTACTGAGTCTACGTGCTCGCTAACGGTGACACTTGCTGGCTACGTTCGTTCTATCTGTCTGTTACCTTCACCCTCTGTTGCTCCTGCCTCTCGGGTCTTCACGTAGCAGTAGTGCATATATATACTGGGTGAGCCCATTTGTGTAAAAAGGGGAGAACCCCTCAACACTATTTATCTATCTATTTGTCTTTATTCTTTGTATATATACCTCCTCTTCGATTTCCCTAATTTTTAAATTTACCAAATATTTCTAGGTATTTATCTGAAGAATACTTATATCTTAGAGAGCCGAAGATTTCCCTCCAGTCTTCGAGTCCGGGCAAAAGATTAAAAGGGAAAAGTCTTAATGATTATTTTCAAGAGAGACAAGCTACAAAATCTTTCCTATAAGAATATTTTTTGTATAATGGTGCATTGTAAACTATTTCAAAGGCTATGCTGAAAAATTCGCGACATGAACCAAATTAACAATTAACAATTCTTTTTTAGAATTCTTTCTTGGTCAATATACAGCATCGATTTATGTATGTATTTGCATATGCGTTTATCTCATCTTTTTCCTAACATCGATGAGAATGTTCCTATATATGTAGTTTATCTACAGCTTCTCTGCCACTTGTGGTCATCAGTCAAATTACTTTCAAACACCCTTACATCTTTTCCCTCACGTGTGAATAGTAAAGCTGGCTAGACATTCGTTGCAAATGCTATTAAATAATAGATCTTCTGTAATCGATTTGTTGTCGAGCTTCGTTGGGTTCGTTTTGCTTTTTTTCCTTTTCTCCATCCTGAGTTACATTTAGAGAAGAGAACACTTGAAATATCAGGATGGAAAATAAGAAAACTGTCATATAGTAATAGAAATTTGTTCGACTGGAAACACACACACACATATATATATATATTCATTTGTAAAATGCCTCTTAATTTTCATGCGTAGCTTACAGTATAATTAGTATATACTCAGAATAACTACAGGAAGATACTTACAGGATTGGTTATAAATAGTTTGTAACCTGAAAATAGAAAGAAAAAAGTACATATTTAGTATATTAATATCATGTTTGCATCAATAAATGGGACTTTATATATCTATAAAACAATCAATCAGCCTAACAACAGTGGTGATATATTATTTCTGACCTTGAAAAAATCAACACCGTGCGCCCGCTACTTCCATGGAAAATGTTATGACAACCTATATTCCTTAGTTCAACACTTAAAACAGATAAATAAAATGCCACGTACACATACTCTTCATACACCATTGGTTAGAAGAAAGCTCCATCCAGACAGCTTCCTCCCGAAAACCTCCACACTGTGGAATACATTCCTGAGAGTATAGTACACGATCATTACATTCTTAAACTATTCATATCAAACATTATCTATTCTACATATCCTCATATCCTGCACTTACTTCCGACTCACACGTCAATCCAACAGCATCATTCAATAACGTTCCACTTTGAGTGAGCTTTGTATTGGGTGAATTTTAATAAAACATGACAATATTAAGTGCTATCTTGTTGATACTGCAAGTTCATTGGTTAAAAATCTAAAATAGAAATTGATAATCTGACAATTATAGAGATATCCGCAATAGTGGCGTGTTTTTGGAATATAGGTACTACCATAGTCTATATGATACGTAATGTGTTAAGCTCCATTCTCACTACTTTAAAAAATATCTGAAAATGCTTGCAATAAACCCACCAACGTCACCATTATTACAAACTATAAGCATTCTGCGAAAGTTGCCTTCTGTCTGGGGTGAAAACGACTTGATCGAAAGAACCGATAATGTAAGAACTCCAATATAATTTAAGATTGGGCAAAGTATAATATGGGTTCAATTAAATATCGCAATCAATACCACAGATTTACTTGTCTGTTGCATCATAATAACCTCTAAGCCGTGTATTTTAGTGGCACGCGCATTGTGCATATATTTTCATGAGTGGCAGTACTGGAGGGGAAATCATGGCTGGATTTCGAGAGGTCTGTTTTTTTTTATTAAGTTTTAAGGATAAATCAGCCAAATC